TTTTGTGACTGCCTCTCACTGGCTTGGGACCTGCTGTCTAAGCTAGGCTGTGTGGCTATCGAAGCTCTTTCTCCTCTCTGCCTCCCCAGTGCTCAGATTCTAAGCATGGGACTCCATGCCCAGTCCTTTCCATGGTTCTGGTGGTTGAACTCAGACCTTCATTCATACATGGCAAGCACTTCACCAAATGAGCAATCTCTCCAGCCCAATAAATCATTTTTAATGAAAAGATTAATATCTGATGGTTTGGTTTTTATTATAAATCATTTTGGGCCTGATGGTAAGTGACCTAAGGATCAGAGTAACGGCTCAGTGGTTAAGTGCACTTCCTGCTCTTGCAGCTGCTCTGAGCTCAGCCGGCAGCCACATGGAGGCTTGCTACCAACCGTAACCAGTTCCAAGGGCTCTGAGATCTTCTTCTGAGCTCTTTGGGCACAACATACTTGGTGCAAATACAAATAGGCAGACAAAACACTCAAAATAAAATAAGTACATCTGAAAAAAGACTAAAGAAAATTTAACAAATTGATATCATCAAGAAGAGTCTGTGTTTCTAACAGAAGATACAAATGTAAACAATTGTAAACATTTTGGAGTTTGGGCTGGGCATGGAGGTAGTACTAGGTTTTAATCTCAGCACTCAAGAGGCAGGTGGATCTCTGTGAGTTCAAGGCCAGCGTTGTCTACAGAATGAGTTCCAGGGAAGCCAGGGCTACAAAGTGAGACCCTTTCTAAAAATAAATGGAGGTTCTAATTAGGAAGATTTTTGAATATGAACATGCAAGTGTGGATATTAAGCGAGTTATTAGATTTTAATAGGTGAAAATGGTATTAAGGTTCCAAAGGAAAATATAGGTTTTAAAAATGGATGTTGTATTATACAGAGGTAAGTCTATAATTAAAAAAAAAACAACAAACCTTCAGTCACAAAACAAAGCAATAATGCCAAAAAGAAAAAATAAATAAAAAAGAAAACAGAAGAACAACTTTCAGATTAGGCAATGCATGAATTCCACACATTTGATGTCTCTGCTTTCCTTTATGTCGATTTAATCGGATGTGGCAGAGGGCATGGAAAGTAAGCATGTGAGTGGTCTGTGTATTAACCAAGTGTCCTTGCAAGCCTTGTAGAAAAGACATTGCCAACGTGATAGCCCCTGCCTATAATCCCAGAACTTTGGAGGCTGAGTCAAGAAGACAGTTGTGAGTTCTAGGCCAGTCTTGGCTACAACCATGAATGCCAGGCCAGGCAGGGCTACACAGTAAGACCTTGTCTCAAGAAAACAAAGCATAGCACATGTGGACACGTACACACATACTCACAAAACACTGGCTTTGAGAACCATGTAATAAAGAACAGTAAGATTTTTGAAATTAAAAATTGAATTAGTGGGAGAGTAGGCTTACGTATATTTTTCAGCCAGGTGATGGTGGTACATGCCTTTAATTCTAACACTAGGGAGGAGGAGGCAGGCAGATCTCTGAATGCTGGGCCAGTCTGGTCTATAGAGTGAGTTCCAAAATAGCCAAGGCTACAGAGAAACCCTGTCTTAACAACAACAACAAACAAAACAGAGAAATGTTCTTAGGAGTGGATGATGGATGTCATGATGGCCACTGGCAGGTATTCTGCTTGAACTCTTCTCAAGGACATTATCCTTTTAAACTTTTGTGTTCCAGGAAGCTGAGGATTTTCGAGGACAGCATTAGCACCCCTTGAAGCCAATGGAAACCTTTCCAGCGATGACCTGTCATCCTACAGGTTCCGCAGCACAAACCTGCCTAGAGGAGCAACGCCCTTGCCTGGCAGCTTAGGGCTCTACCCGAGCAGATACTACTAGTCCACGCTTACCTTCATTACTAGGATGGTATCTCATTCCAGAGTGCAAATGTGTGTTAGCTTTTGTAAACCGAGAAGTTACATTTTTGTCCTTCCACATTCCGTATGGAGTATGACTCCTGTACTCATGTGTATTTGGCATCAGAGTGGTGGCACGCCAGCCAGCTTGTGTCTGCTAGGACATTTCGTCTCACATTTTAGTTTCTTTAGAACAGCACAGAGGTATGCTAAGGGGTCTGGAGAGATGGTTCAACATTTAAAAGCACATGCTGCTCTCACAGAAAAGACCCCAGTTCAGTTCCCAGCACCCACATGGTAGCTTACAACCATCAGTAACTCCAGTTCTAGGAGATGTGACACATATACACAGGGAAAAAACCCATACGTAAAATGAAAATATATCATAAAAAAATTGGCTAAACCTTCCAGCCATTTTGATTAATAGCAAACCCCAAGTTCACACTGGAAGTCTGATTTTCACCGCTGTCCTTAAGTCATGGACACATCTTGTTTCACCGATTGTTTTCTTCTTCAGTATCCTAGGTTTATTGTTTTGTCAGTTAATCCAGGGTTTATAGGTGTCAGTGCTAGGTCACAAGAACACCAGGATACCAGCAAAGGCTACCAAGAGGAGTCACTCATTACCAGTTTTGTATTTATTTATTTAATTTTAGACAGACTTTCACTATGTAGCACTGGCTGGTCTAGAACTAGCTATGCAGAGTTAGCCTCAAACCCAGAAACCCCCCTGCCTCAGCTCTCAAGTGCTGTGACTAAGGGGGGAACCGCCACATCCAGCCCAACTGTAGGTTTGTAATGAGCACAGATAGCTTGCCTGCTCTGTTCTCATTTTTACCTCCACCTCGTCAGACTCTGCTCATTTGCAGACTAGAGCCATTAAGCAGTATATGAGAAGACTTTCTGATATACTATCACTTAAGCATATTTAGACTTGTGAAAAAGGCCAATCTAAAGCAAATGACCTTTGTTTTGTTATGTTTTTTATTTTTTGTTTGTTTTAACAGTCCTATGTAAGGGTGAGAACTGGAAGAGATTATTTAAATTTCTTTTGGTTTTAATTCACCTTTTTAAAATGGAAATTTGGCATGGACCAAAGAAATACCAAACTACCTAAATGGAATAAACCAAATTTATTTTTCCCCTTATTTGAATGTGAAGAAAACTTTTCAAGTGGGCTATGGAAAGAAGAGGGATGGCTTTCACCTTTGTGTCCAGTTACGTGATGCGCACACACAGTTATGGCAGCATTGTTCAGAGAACAAAGAACATCTAAAACTTTAGGCCCAGGGTGAACCTTTACAAAGTGATGTTTTAATCCTCATTGACTGGTCTGCATAGATTATTTCTTTTAACAACCAGGAATTTCCAAAAGATTATATTTCTAGACACTGGACCTTGATATTTTACCCAGTTTTTAAAAACAAATTGGCATAATTTACATATAAATCTTGGTCTTGAAATTCATTCCATGCCTCTCATTATACTGCTGAAACAAGTTTTTGTTGTTTTGTCTCTCTGTCTTAAAAATTAAGACAGGATCTCAATGAATAGTCCTGGCTGTTCTGGAACGCATTTTGTAGACCAGGTTGGCTTTGAACTCAAGAGACCCAGGCCTCTGCCTCCCTAGTGCTAGGATCAAAAATGTGTACCACCACACTCTGGCCTAAAAATGTTTTGTGACCTAGTTTGAAGCTACAGTTAGATCTGTATTTACTATTGTGGATATAACAACTGAATCGGTCTTTAAATAGATGGCTCATGTATGTTTCATAATTGTAATGGAGAGGTTAAAAACTCATGGGGAGGGGGTGCTGGAGAGATGGCTCAGAGGTTAGTTAAGAACACTGTTCTTTCAAAGGTCCTGAGTTAAATTCCTAGCAACCACATGGTGGCTCATAACCATCTATAGTGAGATCTGATGTGCTTTTCTGGCATTCAGGCAGAACACTGTATAAATAATAAATAAATAAATCTTAAAAAAAAAAACCACACACATGGGGAACATCTCCAGCAACTTGTAGTCTGTGTCTTATCTGAATACTCATGGGGTATCACAGCCTTGTTCAGTATCTCCTTTCTAAAAGCATTTTTGTACTGTAACTTATTTTTTATTATGTCTGAAGCATTGTGTAAATAAACCCTTAGTAATAAAGAATTATGGATTTTATTATTAACATACAAATCTGTAAAGTTCACATAGCAGTTAATAGAAAACAAGAGAGTATGTTTTATCTTTGCTCAAGTTTTCTTAGAGATGGTGAAGTAAGTACTGGATGAAATTAATTTGTGGTAGATGTGTATTATTTCCATAGACTTCACACATTACTTTGGAGAGCTAGGAAATGGGCAAAACACACTTTTTTTTTTGTTTTGTTTTTGATTTTCAAGACAGGATTTCTCTGTGTAACTGCTCTGGCTGTTTTGGACCTCACTTTGTAGACCTGGCCTCAAACTCACAGAGCTCTGCCTCTTGAGTGCTGGAATTAATGGCATGGGACACCACACCCAGGGACATATTTAGAAGACTCATTTCTTGAGTTTAAGCCTAACCCCAACTAGGTTCTTACTATGAAACCCAGGTTTTTCTTAGTCCTGCTTCAGCCTTGCAGCTCCTGGGCCTATAGGCTTTTGCCACCTGTGTGGCTTAGTTTGGGGGATTTTAGAACCAATAATAGCAGTTTGCCTACTTCTTCATAGAGAAAAACCACCGCCTTTGAATTCTAGTAGAACATAGCAGTTGAAAATGAACTATTTCCAAAAGCTGAGGCTTTTTGGTCCCCATCTACTTTCATTAATCATGGTGGTTCCCAGAGAACTGGATGACTTCATGGGTCAAGCAAGACCCTTTTCCTTTTTTTCAGTGCCCGTGAGACCATCTCATTTCACGTCAAGTACTGTGATAGTGATATTCTTACTTTTGCAACGCATAGATATACAAACCCTAGTTTCCCTTCACCTCACGCTGTAATGATTTCATCATCACGGTCACTGTAATAGCTGAATAAGCATCCAATTCTGGAAGATGTAATGGCTACATTAAAAGGAACACAAATGACGAAGCTTGCATTTATTTACCACAAGAATCAATAAAGATTTATTTATTTTGATCTTGTATGCTCGCCTATGTCTCCCTGGACTTCAAATGTATGAGAACTAATTGTGATGGTTCAATTTAGATACTGTAATATAATTTCTGGATTACAGTTGGAGGATCACGCTTGGTCCTGCAGAATCCATAAAAATATTTTCCCCAGTCTGTAGCCAATTTGAAGCAGAGGAGCTCAATCAGAGCCTTCTTGAGCGTCAAAGGATCGCTGATCAGGGAAGACAGTATGATTCTGTAACAATCTATGTCCCTGATGAAGGTAAATACCTTTGAAGGTATTTCAAAGATGACTCCCGCAATGACGTCACTTCCGGTGCCACCTGCGTGGTCCCCGGGAGCCGTAAAGAGGGTGTGCAAGTGTCGGAAGAGCTGTCGGGATGCAGCAGCCAAGAGGAGCAGCTGGAGGCCGTAGCTGCGCTCTCTTTCCAGTGCTGAGCATCCTAGTCGTCCAGGGTGAGTGCGCTAGCTGGCTGGGCTCTACTTCCGGCAAGGGGGGGTCAGGAAAGATGGTCGCTTTTCCGGTTCCGGGTTGGGGGTCTCAGAAAAGCCCCGCTCGGCTTCTGGGAAGGAAGGAAGGGAGAGGGAGGGTTGTGTGGGACGACGTTCTTTCCTGGCTGGCAACACCCACTGCGGAGAGTTAGTTCCGGGCCGGTCTCGGAGTGCTCCGATGCCGACCACCTTCATGAATTGACACTACCTAGGTGATACCACAATGAAACCACAGCCAGCTCAGGTTTTGCAGTCACTCACTGTTCTTGTGAGATTATCAGTGGTTGTCTCCCAGGGTTCCTGTATTGCTGTTACATCCTGGTCAGAAATGGGCAATTCTGTTTGTCCTAGTTATTTTGACAGACACAATCATGACTGTAAAGGCTGGAGAAAAAAAAAAAAAAGACAGAAAGGGAAAGAAGAAAAAAAAAAAGGAAAATCGTCACTTGGTGATTTTATTTCAGGGGCTTTGAAATAAAACATGTTAGAGAAGGGTTGTAGTGTGATTTTAATTATAGCAGGCATATTGTTGAAGAAAAGGCAACCTTAGCACTTTATAAACATTCTAAAGTATAAGAAAAGTCACAGCCATTATTTTGAAACTAATATTTTAATTATTGTGGGTACAGTGTTTACATAATGACAGTATTGTAAGACTTGGATAATTTTGCTTTCATGCTAGTCCAGATTTCTAAATTTCAATCCAAACTAACTAGCTTCATTTTGAAATGCAAAGATTTTCTGATTATTTTTTCTGTGTGTGCTTGTGTCTTCCTAAAAAAATAAAATACTAGAATACCTAGCATTAGAATGAATTGTAACATTTACCTGCAAATAATGTGCATTTCTGAAAAGGGCTTTTAGTATTGTATAAGTAGGAACACTTATAGCCTCCTCAGGTAAGGTGAGGACGTTTTTATTTATCTGCATGCTGCCAGCATACTTCCTGACTCCTCCCATCTACTTATGTCATCATAAGTGTCCAGTTTTTCATCTGAGTTCTTTTTGTAATAGAGTCAGGTCTCCTGCCATTTCATATACATTCCTCTCTCTCTCTCTCTCTCTCTCTCTCTCTCTCTCTCTCTCTGTATGCAATAGGGGTGTAGAGGGAGAAATGTTCCAATATTGTCCTATTGAGAAAAAAAATTATAGAAATGGTGGGTCTTTTTGTAAATCTAGTGTCACTTCACCCAGATGAGCAGGTGTCAGATCTAGCAAAACAAATGATTCAAACATGAGTTAATTTAGGAGGGCTGTGAGATGGATCAGTGGGTAAAAGTACTTGCTATGCAAGCCTGAAGACCTGGTTCCATCTCCAGAGCCTCCATGCAGGTGGAAGGAGAGAGAACTAACTCAACAGATTATCCTCTGACCTGTGTGCACACATTCTAATATTAGTTTTTAAGTTACTGATCTCTGTGTATAAGTCTTGAAGATATAAATAGATTTATACTCCTCACCTACTCCTCCAACTCTTCTTGAATAGACTTATGTTTTGCATTTAAAACCAACCAACCAGCCAACCAACAAACAAACCAGGGAGCTGGAGAGATGGTTCAGCAGTTAAAAGCACTTGTTGCTCTTCCACGGGACTCTGGTTTGAGTCTCAGTATCCACATGGTGGCTCACAATGGTTTCTAAGTACAGTCTCAGGCAATCAAATATCCTGTCTGCTGGTTAAATACAGGTTTAAAAAAGGGACAGATTTGTTGGTATGTAGTTCACATCTATTTATTCATCTATTTGAATAATTTTAATATTTCAATAATTTTAATATGCACTGTTATGCAGTCATTACAACCAATTCTGGAACTTTTTCATCATCCAAAAGAAAAATCCCATACCCGTTCTACTTTTCCACAGCCTCTGGAAACCACCAATCTACTATATTTATGCCTCTGTCTGTCCTGGGCATTTCAGACAAATGAGCCAGGCGTGCCCCTTTGTGACTAGCTTTTTTCACTAGCTTTTTTAGCGTGTTTACAGCGTTTCATCTGGCTGTCTGCTTGTTTTTACATTTTGTGTCTTTTTAATCATAGGTGAAAGCTTTGCTTTTCCGCTAGTGTTTATTTGCCACCCCTCTTCAAAGATAGAAAAGCCTTAAATTCTCACCTTGTTTGAATTGGCCTCAAGATGTAAGTCTGATCCCGCTTATTTCAATTGGCTAAGTATATAGAAATGATAGACTAGGGGTCTGGAGACGTAGCTCAGGGTAATCCTAGCACTAGGGATGTGAAGGAAGGAAAACCAGAAGTTCAGGGTCATCCTCAACTACATAGTGAATAAAGATCTAACCTGAGAAACATGAAACTCTGTCTGAAAAAAAAAAAAGGGAAAGGGAGGAGGAGTAAGCAGTGATGATAGAGAGCCCAGTATTATACTTTTCATGTAAGTGCAAGTATGTAAATTTAAGGTGGGAAGATTTGCATTTTGGAAAATGGGATATACAAAATTAGGGGCTTTGTTTAGCCATGTTGAATTTCTTCCAGGACTAAAGTTATCTTTATTAGAATGGGATTTTCTTTTCTCATCCTCTATTAAATGGTTCTGTTAAGTTTCATGATATTTTTATGGTTGGCTGTTTTTTTTTATGGAGAGAAGAAGGGGCAAGAGAAAGGGATAGGGAGAGAAAGACAGAGAGAGAGAGAGAGAGAGAGAGAGAGAGAGAGAGAGAAGGAGAGCTGTTTGGAGGAACTACAAAGGTTCTGATTTCTAACTCTAGCTGAGATCTTGTCTTAGCTTTAAAGCAGGTATTGGCAGTCATTTCCAATAATGGAATGAGTGTAAACATTTTAGGCTGTGCAGGCACCTGCACCTGTTCTCTGCTGTATCTTTTTGGTTTCTGCCAAGTGTGAAAAAGCAGCCATAAACAAACCAATGTGGTTGCATTCTACTGAAACTCCATTTTCATAAAGGTTGAAATGTTTCAGCTGTTTACTGGGAGACCACTGGAGAGACTGTTTGGTTTAGATAATCTGGGTTACCCGAATAGCCAAGAGTAGGGTAACTGCTAATTGTTAAGAGTTTGCTCCTTTGTCATGAGGGCCATTTGCTTTCACTTGAATCATAGGTTATAGGTTGCTGGCCCCTGACATACGGTTCTTTGACATTATCCCTTGGGTATCAAAGACATGTAAATTTACCCAGAATCAGACTCATGCCTCTCCCCTACAAGCTTGCTTTCTTTCTTTCTTTCTTTCTTTCTTTCTTTCTTTCTTTCTTTCTTTCAGTGGATTTTTCTAAGTAGAAACTGAGAGTCACTCTTAACACCTTCCTTCCTACCATTAATTTCTTGAGGGAACTGTCTATGCATTTGTGTGGTATTTTTCCCCCCTTTAGTACACCAGCCCAGTCTAGAAGTGATTATTAAGACTGAGCTTTTCCTGAATGGGTGCGGACAGTAGTGTTGGGAGAAGCATTGAAAATTCCGTAACAAAGGTGATGGGGGAGGATTAGTGAGCAGGAACACGTGTCCCTACACTAGTAATCATGGTGATCCTCCTGTTTCTCTCTGCCTGCCTCCTTCCCTCTGAATTTTTGCCCTGATGGGGCTTGCATCTCATGGAGCAAATGGCATTTATAAATCAGATGTAGTAATGGTGTATGTGTTTGGATAGTATGGTATTATGGGAACTTTGGAGGAAGAGCAAAGAACTTTTTTGGGGAAAGACATCACAAAGTGGGCTGGTATGTGAGTTGGTGGTGAAGGCGTGTGAATGTTGGGGTGTGGTGGGGAGCAACTCCAGCAGGCTGATAGGAATGGGGAGATCCTTCCAGACAAAGACATTTTCTGAGAAAAGCATAGAGTCATGAAAGGACACAGTATCTTTGGAAATGACTGGACAGTCGGGGCCCAGTGAAAAGGGCAGGACATGGTTGGGCGGTGTCTGAGAAAGACTGTTCTTGTTCAGATTTTAATCCACAGCTCCAACGGGGAACTAGTTCGGGTTTCTAGTATGCGTGGAGTCCACTTTAACAATAATAGTTAATATTTGTTGAAAAGTTTTCATCTTAAGAGCCCTACTAAGCATTCTATGTGTATTTATTTATTTGGTTGTTTGTTGTACTTGGGAGAAAACACAGGGCCCCACATATTCCACCACTGTGCTGTCCCCAGGCCTGTGTATGTTTACAGTGTGTTGGGTGTTCTCAGCGCTACTAGGAGGGTTATTCTCTCCATTCACCAAATGGAGCAACTGAAGGTGAAGGAAGTGTAGCCTAGCTCTCAGCAGAAGTCACATGGGCTAGAGCTTCTGGCTAAGTTCAAATCTACTCCTTTAAGCTCTATATCGTTCTTATGTTTTAGGCTAAAAACATAGGCTGGGAGACATGTGTGATTTGTGGGTTCATTCCACGTTTTGGGTTTTAGACCTGACTCTCCAGTACTGAATAGGATATTTCTTCACGTGGGTGGGTCAGGAGTGAGAGCTGGAGAATGAAGGCTTTTTCTGGCAGAGAAATGAGCATTTACCGAGGCATATATGAAGTGAGAAGCTTAGCATGGCTGTCAGAAAGGAGGCTGTGTAAGGAACCGGATGGCCGTCATTTTTGAGATGGGTTGGATTCTTATTATAGGCCTTATTAGCAAGCTCTGCCTTGTCTCCTCCTTTCAGGAGGAATGTGACCAGACTAGATTGTCCAGAGAAGAGTGAGAAAATGATTCAAAGCTGTCAGAGGTAAAGGCTCTGGGACAGTGACTCAGAATGCCAGTGGTAGGAAAGGTCAAGAGCCAGTAGGAGAAAGAGGAGGTGGTATCAGCAGGCATGGGGCGTTTGCTCCAGGTAGGTAGGCTTTCTGGGTGTTGAACGTGTTTTACCTCATTCAGTCCTCACAGTGACCTGGAGATGAGCCCCATTTCTGCCATGATGAGCAAACTAAAGGAGTAAGGTAACTTTCTGAGCTGCTCAGAGCCAGCTGTAAGGGTGGGGTTTGAAGCTAGCTTCTGACACCTTCGTGTTAAATCCTTACACAGTCCTGTCTGTACCAGAAGGGCCGCTGGATTTGGGTGAAGGGTGTGGATTTGCTCTTTTCTGACATCTTGTTATCCTTGACTACCAGAAGAATGTTGTTTTAGTGAGCCAGAGAAAGAAACAGGAAAAGCAAAGGAGAGGGTTTTAGTTTCCTAGAACATGGCTCACCAGTAGGAGGCATATTTTTATTTATTGCTTTCCCAACATCACAGGGGATTGGTTGGAAGAAAGTGCCAGTTTTTTTATTTTTCTGCTTTCTCATGGAGAGAAGATGGAGTGTCAAAGTTGTAATGAGTGCTTTTGGAAAGACGACACTCTGCCGGCTTTAAAATGATATCTTACTTTTACACTGTAGAACACATTCAATTATATTCTTTCTCTTCATAATTTACTTTTTTTATGTCAAGTGTAGAACCTAGGACCTTCCAAGTTGAGGCAGGTGCTCTGCTATTGAACCAGTCCTTCAGCCAGCCCTCCATAACTTACTTCTAATAGATGTGTGATACATTAACCAGCTTTAGGGCAGGAAGCATAGCTGGGCGTGGCAGTGCACGCCTGCAATCTCAGGATTTAGAAGGTTGTGTCAGGAGAACTGTGAGTTTAGGCCACACTGCTATATAGCAAAGCCCTTTCTCAAGGAGGAGGAGGAGAGGAAGGAGAAGAGGTTAAAGAAGAGGCATTAGGAAGAAGGATCGTCAGTTTTGAGCGCTTACTGTTCCCCATACCCACATCACATGACTCACAAAGCTCTCCGTAGCTCCAGCTCGGGGATAATGCCTCTTGCCTCCACAGGCACCAGCACAGACATACACACATACACATAGTTAAAACAACAACAACAACAACAACTAGAAGTAAATCTTTTTTAAAAAGAGGAAGGGGGAAAGACTAGATAGAAGCTTTTAGGAAAGCTTTAAAAATAAATTTTCTATTTGTATTTTCCGTCCTCATTTTGCTACTGGTTGAGACAGTGGTAGCTTCATGCTGTGACTGTATTGTGTTTGGCTGAATCTTTTAGACCTCATAAAGGCTCCTGTATATGGAGCATGTGGGGGGGTTGGGGAGGGTACAGGATGGGAAGTGGGGGGTAATGTTGCCTTTTAGTTACTATAGGCAACCCTTGTTTGCATTTAACCAAACTACAAGCCTATCTTTGGAAAAACGCCAGTGTGACTAGGGTTTTTAATTTTTGCTCGACTGTTTACTATGATTTAAGACTATGAAATGATAAAAATGTTATTCAAAATTATTAGATCTTAGCTCCATGTTCTTTGTGGATTTGCCTGAAAATACATTGATGGCTCTGGCATTTGGGAGAGATCTCTAAAAATGATGCAGAGCATCTACAGTGGTCGCTCACATTTGCATAACCCAACCAAATGAGTGCATTTTAAGTGTTTGGCCTTGCTTCCATTAGGTGTGCATATCGTCCTTCCTTTGGAGATAAGCGCAGATGCTCACGTCCGAGGATATGTTGGAGAAAAGATCAAGTTGAAATGCACCTTCAAGTCATCTTCGGATGTCACTGACAAGCTGACCATAGACTGGACATACCGCCCTCCCAGCAGCAGTCGTACAGAATCTGTAAGTGTGGACTTTCCGGAAGGGTGCTTGAGTGCCTGGCATGGTGGCATACGCCTGTAATTTCAGCATCAGTGAGGTAGGAAGAGCAGGAGTTCAAGGCCATCCCTTAGCAACATAGCAGATTTGAAGCCAGTTTGATCTACATTAAGAAAGAAAGAAAGAAAGAAAGAAAGAAAGAAAGAAAGAAAAAAGAAGAAAGAAAGAAAGAAAGCAAACACCTGCTATGAAAGCCTGATGACCTGAGTTGGATTCCTGAAACCCACGGTAGAAAGAAAGAGCTGACTCTCAAAAGTTGTCTTCTGACTTTCCCATGTACACCATAGCACTAGTGCTCCTACACACGCCGCCGATGCATGCATACACACACAGGCATGCACACACACACACACACAGGCACACACGCACACACTTGAGTGTGCACACACATACCTCAAATGCAGTTGAACTTAGAAAAAGAAATAAAAGAAACTTTTAGCCTTTGGAGTGAGCCAGGCTTCTGCCCCGTATGATATTTGTTAAATCACGTAGTGCCTTTTGCTCTGACGTGTAAGACTCTTGTATGTTACCTTCAAGGAAAAAAAAATGGTCAGAAACCAAGAGGAAATGTCTAATTTTGTTGCCTTGTTGTTTCCTTCTGTGTGGTGTTATAGCTTCTTTTAGATCTGACGTCCTAAAAAGGGCATCTCCAGGACCAGGACGTGGGCTGGAGAAATTCCCCGCTCACATCACAGACATCCTTTCTCTGAAAGCTGCTCCAATCTTGCTGTCTCAGTGGGTGTGTCTGTCTGAGAAACCACACTCTGTGGCTTTATCTTGGCTTCTCTTCTGGCCGTGTAAACATCTGCAGTGATTTATATAGCGCCTTTGGAGGAAATGGTGGCACCTTGTACTGGTGACAGATGTCACTGGTGACAGATGGCCTTGCAATATTAGAAGCGATATATACTTTAGTCACACATATGAAACATATTTATGGTTCAAATTCCATTATGGATGTTTAATTAGAGATTACAATGCTGTAATGTATACAGCACCGAATATATTATAGTTCTCTTTAGAGTTCCATCAGTGGCCTTAGTTCAGGAAGGGTGCTATGTAGGAACGTATTTGAATTGGGGCTGGAGAAATGGCTTAGCAGTTAAGAGGCTGTTCTTCCAGAGAACCCGGGTTCAATTCCCAGCACTCACATGATAGTTCACAACATCCTGTAACTCCAGTTCCGAGGGGATCCGACATCCTGTTCTGACCTCTGTGGGCACCGGTTATGCAGTGTACGCAGACAGACATGCAGACAAAAACACCCCTGCATATAAACTAAAACAATTTTTAAAAATTGTTAAAAAAAAAAAAAAGAGTGTGAGTGTCATAGCCATATATAAATTGGACCTGTCTGTCTGTCTGTCTGCCTATCTGTGTATGCATGCCACTTGGAGTGTGTGGAGGTGAGAGGATGACTTGCAGGATCCAGTTCTCTTCTTCCACCATGCGGATCCGGGGGATGAGCTCAGGACGTCAGGCTTAGTGGTGAGGTGCCTTTACTCACCGAGCAATCTCACTGTCCCTGACTAGGCTGTAGAAAGTGTTCTTTATTCTCTTTTCTTTCACTGGAAAAAAGGTTACTTTTCATCTTAGTGAGTATGCTTTGAATTGTGCGTTAGGAGCTGCTTCGGAGAGCCAGGTGTGCAGGGAGGCAGGTAACTGCATCGAAGAAGGAAATAGGGGCGTAGTCAAGGTTCCTGTTGCGTTAGATTAAAATAGTTCGCTTTATTCTGAGTCGTGGGGAAGCTATGGCTGACCTTATTTGGCTCTGCTTGCTTGTCCAGAAGTAGGGCAGAGTGAGCAACAGGAGCTTCTTGGGTCAGAAACCTTATATGCAGACAGTGCTTCTCCTAGAGTTCTGTCTGGTAAAGTGGGCCAGGAAGCAGCGCTCGTCAGAGCTAGAATCAGGGGCATTTTAAGGGTCTTGTAACTCCAGGGTGCAGTGATGTGGTTTGTCAGGCTTATCAGGGAGTGAGGTTGCAGCTCACTAATTTAGCCTGCAAACCGTGAGTTAGATTAACCTGGAAGGTCGGTGAGGGATTTTTCAGCTTTGTATCCTGATGGTCAAGGATGGGCCTTGTGTTTTTGGAGACCAGGTTTTGCCCTGTGCCCAGGCCATTCTTGAACTTAGTGTATAATCCAGGCTGGGCTCACATTCACAGCACTCCTCCTGCCTCAGCCTCCTACATGCCGGGAGTACATGCACTCACCTTCATGTGGCTTGGTAGGCCTCCTTGATTTCTCCCTTTGGAACACTTGTCACATATACGTTAGTTCTTTCTACTTCTGTTTACCACAAATGTAAGCTCCATTGTAGTCTGTCCCTTCACATACTTGGAACATGGGACATGTGCTAAGTATCCGTGCAGTAACTTCTTGAAACTAACCAGTGAGTGATTCAGCATCTTCTCTGAGGAATTATTGCTCTTCAGAATTGGGCAACTCGGTGGTTGGGAACGCCCACTGTCCTGTGTGGGGAGGGGCCAAGTAAACAAAGCCAGAGGAAAGCCTCCTGTCTTGCCCAAGAGTCGTGTTGTTTGTCAGACATGCCTGTCACAACCTTCAGGTGTAAATATGTGCTTTGGGGACCAAGTGTCCGAGCTCCGATCCGAAGCAGTGTGGTCTTAATACAGCAGACATTCATTGCGTGCTTATCAGGCGTTTGACTCGGGGCTGGTGTTAACTGTTGTTGGAGATAACCCAAGAGAGGTTGGATTGTGTTACACCTGCCCAGTGATTTGGAGAATAAAAATCTCCCTTTGTCACTTGCTAACTGTGTGCCTCTGAGTAACTTGCTTCATGTTTTTATCTGGGTCTTGTTTCTCTTCCTGTAAGTTCAGAATAGTTACACCTGCACCGCCCCCCTCCCCCATGGTTTGGTGGTGTTGTCAGGGCCAAGTGAGTAAACATGTGAAAGTCATTTGCAAACTATGGTAAACAGACAATGGGTGTCGCTTTAGGGCAGAGTGCCCCTACTTTGGCACTGTTGACAATTAAGCCTGTGGACCTGTGTAATGGGAAGTTTCACAGTGCCCTGACTTCTACCCTTAGGTCCCTGAAGCTCACATCCCTAGTGCAACAACCAAAGTGTACCAAGGAAACAAATAAGCTGATTAAGCAGCAGGAAAAAGATGAGAGCAGACATTCCTCCAAAGAAGCAATATCAGTGGTCAACAGAAATGAAAAATCTCAGTGTCTCCAATTATAAAGGAAATAAAAATAAAGCTGCAATGAGATATCACCTCACAGATTCCCACAAAAGCTGTTATAAAATAGGCAAATGATGGGGCTGGAGAGGTGGCTCAGTGGTTAAGAGCACACAATCTGAGTCTGGTTCCCAGCACCACATTGGGTGGCTCACAGTGGTTTGTAACTCTGGTTGTGGGGGATCTGATGCCCCCTCTGGCCTCTGTGGGCACCTACACTCATGTGCACATACACACATGCACACACAATGAAAAATAATAAAAATAAAATCTTAAAAAGACAAATTATATTAAGTATTGGCACAGGTTGGAGAAAAGGAAAATTTACTAATGTAAATAGCGTAGCTACTTTAGACAGTGCCATGGCAGTTCCCAAGATCAAAAATAGCAGGGCAGTGTGATGGAGCAGGAGAACTTAGCACGCCCAAGGCCCACGGTTTAGTTCTCAGCTTCACACAGAAAAGTTACATGGTGCTCCACAAACAGGCACAATTATTGTTTCTCAATTAGGAATAAATACATTTAAAACTTGGTGGGGGAAAAAAAAAAAAAGAATCTATTCACTGTCTGAAATGTTTTGTGGCGAATGAAGTTGTCTCTGCTTGAGGGTCATTACTGGAGGCTTCCAGAAGAATTTAGAAGAAGGTTCTTTTTTTAGATCTCTCTCTCTGTGTGAAACATGTGTGCAGGCGCCCTCAGGGGCCGGAAGTGTGGCATTTCCTGGAACTGAAGTTGCAGGTGGTGGTGAAATGCCTGATATGGGTGCTGGGAACTGACCTGAGGTCCTCTGGAGGGGCAGTGCTCTTAGCCACCGAGCCATCTCTCCAACCATAGGAAAGATTTAAAGGTTGAGATCCCAGGACTTTCTCATCAATCCTTCTTTGGATCAATTTAATTAACCTGTCTTTCCAAGGTAGAGGTAAGCAAAGCATTAAAAACAAACAAACAAAAAACAACTGGGGGAAAAGAAAACCCTTTATATAATTCTTTGTAACCTTGAACCTACTCAGCTTTTCATTTCATTGCATTTTCCCAAGTTAACCATTTCTCTCATGGTGTTGCTTTCTTAGATTTTTCATTATCAGTCTTTCCAGTACCCAACTACAGCGGGCACATTCCGAGACCGGATTTCCTGGGCTGGAAATGTCTACAAAGGGGACGCATCCATCAGCATCAGCAACCCCACTCTGAAGGACAATGGGACGTTCAGCTGTGCTGTGAAGAACCCTCCAGATGTGTACCACAATATCCCCCTGACAGAGCTCACGGTCACAGAAAGAGGTAAGTGGCTTACTGCCGGCCTCCTGCAAGTGTTGTGGCTCCTCTGGTGCTTTCCAGAACTTACCAGTTGACTTAGAGAATCACTGTGTCAAAGTTATCTTCACAGGCTTGTTAAGATTAATTTTAAAATCATTTTTTTTTACATTTTATTTTGTATGTGTGTTGGTGTGTGAGCACGCAGGCTACAATGTGTGTGTGGAGGTCAGAAGACAACTTGGAGGAGTCAGTGGGAACGTCCTTGAGCCACCTCAGCAGCCATTAGGATGTACTTTAGATTTGAAAACTGAGTATTCTCTTCCGACGTTGTCATAGTTTCTGCATTGTCTTTTTCACTTTATCTTCAGGTGACCAAATATCTTGTGGGATGTTGGGCCATCCCCCAAGTTAACGAAGGGTGAGCGTGTGTGCTGTGGAAGCTGCTGCCCCGTTAGGTCCATGCTCCAGTTATGTGGCTGTCCCTGCGGAGGGTGCTCCCTTTAAGGATGGGCGGCATTGCCTTTCTTTTATGTTACAGAGCTGCAGTTTTCTTCTCCTTTGGAGATGAGGTTGTGAGGGACTTTTTTCAGCATATCCCTGTGGTGATTATTAAGTGGTTATTTGAGTTTGAAACTGGATTTGACCCAAAGACATAGAGATATATTATGAGTCACTAAATTGCCTTACCATTTCTTGGGGCTTTCCTCCCTCCTTTATTTCTTCTTGCCTGCCTGCCCCTTTCTCCCTCCTTTCCCTCTCTCCCTTCCTCCTCGCTGTCTTCTTTGTCACAATTATTATCTGGTTTGACAATAACCCATAGCATTTACATAATCATACTGCTGGCAGGAATAGATTTCATTTTTCTGTAAGGCAGTTTAGTAATAGAAGTCATTTTTCTTAAAATTATACTCCGTCAAGAAAACAGAGCTAACTGCTGGCATTTATACAGAAGGGTTGTCCTCCTAATAGGCCTTGTGGAGTCAAAGAATTTGAAACAATTTGAACGTTCAAAGTTAGAGAATTGATTTGCTACTTGATCTAGTATGGTATAGTGCAGCGCTATGTGTCATACTTAGAAGGCTGTTTATTTATTTATTTACTTTTGGACAGAGTTTCACTATGTCCTAGAACTTACTTTGTTGACTATTAGGTTGGCCTTGGACTCATGGAGATCCTGCCTCTGTCTCCCAGTGCTGGGATTAACAGTGTGCACCACCATGGCCTGCTAGAAGGAGCTTTATAATCAGAACCTACCTACCTACCTATCTATCTACCTACCTACCTATCTATCTACCTACCTACCTATCTATCTATCTATCTATCTATCTATCTATCTATCTATCTATCTA